CGAAACCGTGCATTATTTTTATCGATTTTATCGATTTTTTTGAAAAATTTGAGCTAGGGGGCTGGAATTTGGCAGAGGGGTGTAATCGAGCATGCTGATCACCCCCACGGAGATGATCAGCATGCTCGATTACCCCCTATGCCAAATCCCAGCCCCCTAGCTCAAACTTTGCAAAAAAATCGATAAAATCGATAAAAGTAATGCACGATTTTAAAAACTAATGTTGTATTCGTAATCAGCATGCTCGATTACCCCCCTGTGCCAACTCCCAGCCCCGTAGCTCAAATTTTGCAAAAAATCGATAAAATCGATATCGATCGATGACGAAAAGTAGCCTATGACACCCGCCGGGGCTCAAAGTGTATGTGTGCCAAGTTTGGTCCGGATCGGTTCAGAAATGGAATTTTCTATTCGGAACATACGTACACACATACATACATACATACATACATACATACATACATACATACATACATACATACATACATACATACAGACAGACAAACAGACATTCAGCTTTATATATAAGATTTATATGTAACTCAAAATGTGAGAATGCACACTGCGCACGGCAATTCACGACTGTTGCTCTTCAGCGAAACAAACTGTCGGATTGTGTACTGCTAGGCGTTTATATTTATTCAAGCCAAGAAGAAGCCCTGAGAGTCAAACTTTTCAACAAAGTCGTGAAGTAGCGCTTGCGGTGTGCAGTAAGCAAATCTGGTCGCTCAGACTGCTCTATGTTACTTGAATCTGCATTGGCCAATGCAAATTCAAAAAGTTTTGCAAATGCACTAGACTACTGTCAAGAGGACTACTGTATGCAAAACAACGATGTGAAACAAAATAGAGAAGATAAGCGCTGCGAATAAAAGAATGAAACGCACAAGCAGGAATTCAGGGTAGTTGAGAGGCGTTTCCATCACGAACACGGCCTTTTTTCGCCTATCAAGGGTATTCGGTGAGCATGAGACACGATGTAAGGAAAAGCTCAACTAGAGGCGAAGAGCGCAAGCACCACTCCGACCTTAGAGAACTAATTAACTAGCGTAACGTCTTACCTCATCTTCTAAACCACTGCCCTACACTGTAGGACAACATTGTGGCAGTGACCCTCAAGAGTTTTTTTTTCAGAAGCACAATAGAAAATAGTCCTATTTTAGCAATTATCAGTCAAAGCATAAACACCCACCATATTTCGAATGCCCGATGTGCTAGACCGCAATTGAAGGAAAAACGTCGTGAATCGCGGAATAGCGAAAAAATGGGTGCACTTTGAGGAAATTGAATGGATTATTCGTCTGAGTGTGCTCAAAAGAAGTCTCGGCAGAAGCGTTAACAGTGCAAAGTTCAGGAGATTTTAATTTCTGTTTTGTGTGTATTTTGATTCAAATTTCCTTCTGCCTACTTAATTGTAGAAAGGTTGCCATCGAGTAAATAGGAGGAGGATGTATGTGCTCACAAGCTATTCTCTGTGCTATACTTTGAAATTTAGTAAGAAATGCGACGTGTGAATCTACTGGACGGTACTGCTTTATTCAAATTTTCTTTCCAACATTAATATTCGAGGTTATAAAGAACTCTCTCTGGGTTAGTGGTTTCTTATTTAGTGTGAATTCTTCTCTTATTTTTCTTGTCTGAAATGGACTAGAAATGATGCTGTTTGAATTGGTACGGCTTCGGCTCACATTTTGGATACACTTAGTGTGAATTACGACAAAGAACGGAAGACTAGCAGTTTCAGGGCGGCATGGCAGGAGTTCCCAAAGCCTAGCCGCTTTTCCTCGCAGGGGTACTTGGCACCTCCAAAAATCCCTTGAAGGACATCATACCCTTTCGGGGCCAAAGGGCGGCCCAGCCCATCACTCCTCCCTCTAGATGCCCTCATTATGAATTGTGTGCACGCACTGTAACGCGTGTATTGTTTTTGAAGATAATAGCATTGAAATTGAGGAACAAAAAAATTTTTCATTAAGGGTTTAGGATGCGTAAATGACTGCGAGTTTCAGGCATTTCGAGTTACGTTTTACTCACGTTTCGGATAGAATGACGCTTTCCCAAAATTTTGTAAGTGCTCGCGCTTGAGTAAGTCTGTGAAGCATATCATAGTAATATAAATCAAGCAGAAGTTATGAGTCTTCCATTACAGTATATAACAGATAAGTCAATTACACCCAAGTTCTATGTTCAACTAAGAATTACAGCAAATTGAAATAACTTGCAAATTTAGTGTCGTGTTTGAAACTCTTAGCCAGCTATTCAATCACACATGCAACCAAACCTTGGTATTCTAGTACATTGACTGTAGGAGATGCTACACTCAAAAATTGGTTTTTGATAATTAAGATCTTATTGATCACTAAAGTAGTCTAAATAAAAAACTCATTGAACACATATGATGGCAGACGAAAATAAGAAAGTATACGTGTTCAAATATCCTAACTACTGGAAAAAAATGCTGAGCTGCTTTTTCGGGAACTTTGATATACTCCATTCAAAGTGGATAATTCTAACGTTGGGAAGGTAATAGGGTTCTACACCACTTGGTCACTCAGTTATTCAACTCTTGATGCTGAATCACTTCAAGATGACCAGGCATTTACAACTGATCAACTAGATCTCTGATATTTCGAATGACCGAGTTTTCTATACAAAAATCCTGTGCAATTTATCTCTCCTTAGAATAATGGTCAGGTGCTCATTTTAAGGATGGCGTGGCAGAGTTTTCAACCCTCCTCAATTGATAAATGATAGCTATGGAACTCGTTTTTTGTCCATTTTTCCTCTCTCGTTACCTTATACCGAGTCTATGCTCTCGCTGTATGCACACCTCACAATGAGACCAGTAAATAGGTGGAGCAATAGGCGTGGCCTGACCTCTAAAGCGCGGAGGTGCTAGAACCCTCTTGGGTGCGAATGCTGGTGCGAACTGGGTGCGAGGAAAGGTGCTAGGAACTCCTGCACGCCCTCCCAGTTTCAAAGGGCCATAAATTCTTTTATACCCTCATCCTAAAGCACGTCACCTGAATTAATATGGCTATATCGTTTTTTGTAGAACCAACACAGTCGAGTAGATTTTCCGCTTAATATAGTGTGCGTGCACAGTTTATGAAATGCGGTAAAATTTGCGCGTGAATAGGTAGCCGCGCCAGTACTGCCGGCGTTTTGCGCGCGCGATTGGCCGGCGTCACATTCGAAGCTAATTCCTCACGCGCAAATTTTACCGCATTTCACATTCTGTGCAAGCACACTATATTAAGCGGAAAATCTACTCAACTGTACCTCCTTCTTTATCCTCGCCATTGTCCCGCGGGGGCAGGGTCGGCTGTTTTGCAGAATCAATACCAATAAATTTTATTGCAGTCATTCTTGACCTAGTTATAACTTGATTATACATAGAGGAAATTCGGATACTGAAAGAGTTGATAAATCATAGTCAAATTTTAAAATAGATAAGATCATGTGACTGCCAAATCCTCGCCCATTTCTGGTCAACCCTCGCTAGTTTCAAGATTTTATACTCTTATTGCACGAGTAAAAGATACGGAGTAGCATGGATATTCTACTTAATTTGTCCGCAACTCTCACTATCACGACTATCTAAAACTTTTCTAAGATCTGGTTTATCAGCAGTTTCAGTCATCACAATCGGCACTTGAAAGATCAAATGTAAAATACATGAGATCTATGAATAAATCAGAGATTGTAGCTTTTTTTCGACGCTTGTTCTCATTTTGCATGTAGCTATTTTCTTGTGCAAACACATGCGAACAAGCCCGGAAAAGGCGACATTTTTCTTTTCTTTCTATCTCGTGGGCGAGAAATAGGCATATGATGAGCGACCTTTGCTTCCCAAAGCTCATCCCAATAGAGTGGGACGATACTTGCGATTGTCGCTGCATTTCATCGCTAAAGTAATTATCAGGATTATCAGGCTACGGGTCAGGAGCCATATCGCGCGCGGCGGACGCTAGCTGCGCTCAAATGTTGTGTCTCAAAGAACTCTCCGATGCTAAAGTGGCATGGCTCCAGGATAGGGGGGTGGGACTGGCGGCAGATACAGTCGAGTAGATTCCGCTTAATATAGTGTGCTTGCACAGAAGGTAAAATGCTGCGAAATTTGCACGTGAACTAATAGCCACGCCAATACTGCCGGCATTTTGAGCTCGCAATTGGCCGGCGACACATTAAACTATTTTTCCACGCGCAGATTTTACCTCATTTCACCTTCTGTGCAAGCACACTATATCCTTCTATATAAAGCTGAATGTCTGTTTGTCTGTATGTCTGTCTGTCTGTCTGTGTGTTCGTATGTTCCGAATAGAAAATTCCATTTCTGAACCGATCCGGACCAAACTTGGCACACATACACTTCGGGCCCCGAAGGGTGTCATAGGCTACTTTTCGTCATCGATCGATATCGATTTTATCGATTTTTTGCAAAATTTGAGCTACACGGCTGGGAGTTGGCACAGGGGGGTAATCGAGCATGCTGATCCTTACTATAATATACATTCGATCCTTTCAAGCGCGACGGCAGAGTTTTCTGCGTCCCTCCTATCCTTAACCCCAGCGTGACGGAGGGTCGTTGCTGAAGGAATCGAAAAAGGAATGCGAAAATATAACGGCGCTCAGTGATGGCGAGAGGAGAGGCCAGTAGCCATTCTCAGACACTCGCGGTTGACTCGCGCAGGGCAAAACGAGGTGTAGCTATTGAATGCGTGGGCGACTCGCGAAATCGGTGTCGCGGCAAAATCAGGACACCTGATTTTGTGTCGCGGCAAAAGTGCGCGGCAAAATCGGGGCGAAATCAGGACACCTGCGCGAGACACCAAAATGTCGCGATCGTTCAGAGCACGCGGTCTACGCCCTTAGTGAAAGCTTTTTGCGTTCTCTAAGCGCTCTCTCATGCCTTCCTTTTGACTTACCTTGAGTCCTTTGTCACGCTGGGTCCCGTTTCTCACGCTTGTTTCTTTTCTGCTGATAAAACCCAGTCTTACGTCATAAAATTTATTAACAAATACCGCATGATCTTCTCGAGTAGAGTTTACAATGACATGGAAATGATATGCACAGTCAGCAGCAATTACAGGATTGAAAACACCACAAAAACGACACATTACGAAAAAACTACGACTAAGAATGAGAACAGCATCAGTCTTCGACTACTTCAACTTCGTCTTCGACGGTTTCAGTCTTCTGGATCACTTCGTCTTCTTTAGTAACAGTGCTGCCTTCGACCATGACACGCTTTTTCTGAAAATGAAAAATTATTGTTACCAGGATCGTATAAAACAAATGAATCACCTTTGATGGAAGGAGCATGGCCCTATCAGGGTCAAAATGATACCTTCGAAGGTCTTCCCTGCAAAATTATAGTTCAGAAGTATCGCTTTCTGTATGAGAAAACTCACAAAGCTCTCCCTATTGCTATCCTCGTTTTACCGCTCCAGATTACTCTTTTCTCTGAGAGGACGTGGAATAATCTTTCGCCAGCGTCGTCATTTTCGGCCAAGTCCAACCACCACCTAAATTCTAGTGGACATGAAGGTCTTTCGAGAACATACATACTTATTTGGATTCCGTTTGTGCTCATCTGGCGTCCTCAAAAGCTGGTAGCGGTGTAGGCCAAGAGCGTCAAGGATGAAACCTAAATCAGTTATTGAAAGTAATGTACTCAAATACACATTGACCCACTTATTAAGAAATCGACTAATCCTTCCGGGAGGTCCTTAAGATGGTCAAATTTTCCCATCTTTCCGCTCTGTCTACAGGCGTACTGTTGAATTTTCGTAGGTGGTTCGCACGCCTAAACGGTGATTACAAGACAACCTTATCATCTTCATCTATTTGTCGCTTACATTTAGAAAGAAGTGTCGCATAAAGTCGAGCACCAAAAGGAAATGATCATGGTCATGCGCGCGTTTTGGTCTCTGCCATTTTTCCATGACTTCAACCATATTGAACTCCTGAAACTAATGTTTTTTCCTCGTTGACTGAGAATAGTGTCTAAAGACCTTGAAGGGTGGTGAACTGTCACGATGCCAGACACTCGATATATTTTTTCTTTCTAGTGTGTAACCCTCTGGCAACGATATATAAAATGCAATGAAAAGTTAGCCATATAGATGAGCGCCTCGTTCTGCTCAACACGAGGTGATGCCGAGCGTTTAGCGGGAAATCTTCAGCGTCCAGTGTAAGATCATGGGCAAGAGTAAGCAGGAAGTCAACTAGTAGTGTGCAATCTGAAAGACTGAGACTGTGCAGAAATTCTAGAATTTCGATCTTCCGTTACGACAAGGCTCACCTCCTTAGATATCTTCAACAAACACACAGGAATGAAATCGAACTCTAAGAAGGCTATGACGTCTCGCCATATGTTCAGCTTCTCTTCAAAAAAATCGAAATAACCGAAATAACAAGTCCATGTGAGTACCCACTAAGTACAGCTGCTCGCAAGATCTCGAAAAAGTTCTCCAAATTTCCTTCGGCTAGCTCTTCGTTATTCACACCATTGAAACACGTAGCAAGGTGGTTGAAGTGTCGATTCCACAAAATCCTGCCTGGCTTCCTAAACATCTCAAAAGTCGAGCTGAAAAAGGAAAAGCAAAAGATAGTGTGAGAGGTCATAGCGGAACTGGTAGGAATAACGAAGGGTCAAACAACGAAACCGTGGCAAGAAAATCTCCCGATAATCAGATAAAAAGTTGGAAGCACATGGTAAGATAACATTTGATTGACTTTCTACACACAAGTAATCTCAAAAATATCGAGTTAGAAAGTGTTGGGATCCACTGTTTCAAGCAAAAAGATTGAAAAACAATGGAAAGCAAAGTGCTGAAGCACCCTCCCCCCCCCCCGCAATAACAATTGAAAGAGTAATTCAAATCGAAAGGAAGAGAAGCAAGAAAAGCTAGGAAGAATTGACCTATACGTGCGTTATTTCGAAATCTTCGCCCGTCGCGGCAAAATCGCACTAAAATCGGGGCGAAACTAAAACGATGACTCGCGCCGGTCCACCGGATTTTGCTGCGAACGCCCATTTTGTGGGCGGATCCCCTGCGCGAGTCAACCGCGAGTGTCTGAGATTATGCCGGCGAGAGATTCGCTCGCACTATGGGTCCCGCTGCGGAGCGGAAATTTTTCAACATTGAGCTGAGCGGCTAGCATTTGGCACAGGGGTGTATGTGTGAAGGCTGATCACAAAAACATTTCATTTCAGAATTACCGATAACCTATATGCGGTATATAGGTAGTCATTATTCTGGGCGAGAGATTGTTGTTGTGTTTCTGTCACAGCGGCTGTCGCCGATGGGGTACGAAGAAAGTTGTTGATCGTTTGAGTCATTCTGTACTGTCGTGCGCATATGCAAGCAGTATTTTATTACTTAATGGAGCTCACGGCTTTTATTTGACTCTTCATGTGACATTTCTTCACAAAAAGTTAACTTTCTGCGGAGTAGAGCCTTCCGCACAAGTATCAGCAAAATACCCACTAACGCTGCCTTACAGTACAACTAAAAATTTGACTTCCCCAGCGAAAGATGAGCATTCAATAAATTTTGGTCCGGATGGGCGGCAAAAATCGACGTTCTCTGAAGTGGAGCCTCATTTTGAAAGTTTCATTCTCTTTTCCGCTCAAATCCCATAACCACGAAAAACTCATCTTGGGATATTGCTGACAATCTAATTTTGTTTTTCTAGCTACAAACTAAGCATTCAAGGAAATTTTTCGAAAGTGCTAAAGTTCGTGATCAGAATTCGAGGTTTTATGTAATGGAGCCTCATCCCGTAACTTTCCATCCCCTTTTCGATAAAAGGTCAGAGAAATACGCTAAAAAAACTCGTTTTTGAATGTTGCTGAACATTTCTGGCGGCAAACTGAACCTTCAGTCAGGTTTTGAGGGGAGATAGGGTTGCATTCAACTGATTTTGATCACGAGGGCCGGCGAAATATGATATTTGTGGAGTGAAGTTTCGTTTTCGTAGGTTTCATCCCTTTTTTGCTGAATGGTCAAGGAAATTCAAAAAGCTCATTTTTACAAATATTGCTGAACCTTCCTAGCGGCGAAGTGAGCCTTCAGTTAGGTTTTGAGGGCAGATAGGAGTGCATTCAAGCGATTTTGGTCCCGAAGGCCGACGGAAAATGATGGCTGTGGATTGGATTTTCGTTTTGAAAGATTTCATCTTTTTTTTGCTGAATGGTCAGCGAAATTCAAAAAAAGCTTATTTTTTCGAATATTCCTGAACCTTCCTAGCGGCGAGCTGACCCTTCAGTTAGGTTTTGAGGGGAGATAGGGTTGCAATCAACTGATTTTGGTCCCGAAGGCCTGCGGAAAATGATGGCTGTGGATTGGATTTTCGTTTTGAAAGATTTCATCTTTCTTTTTGCTGAATGGTCAGGGAAATTCCAAAAAAGCTCATTTTTTCGAATATTGCTGAACATTCCTGGCCGCAAACTGAGCCCTCAGTCAGGTTCTGAGGGGAAATAGGGTTGCATTCAAGCGATTTTGGTCCCGGAGGCCGACGGAAAATGATATTCGCGGATTGGAGTTTCTTTTGAAAGATTTAATCCTTTTTTTGCTAAATGGTCAGAAATATTCCAAAAAAGCTCATTTTTTCGAATATTTCTGGGCAGAGGTGCGATAGCGGGAGCCGATTCTACCCCTATCTTCACTTTTGAGCTGTACAGGGTGATACTACCTTCACTTTTGGAATAAAAATTTTTTCGCTGGACGATAAAGAAGGAAAATAAGCAAAACAAACGCAGAAAAGATTATTGAAAGCATATATTTATGTATACGGCGGCATATATATTTAAAATAAACGTGATCAGTAAATGGCGGATTTGGAAGTAAAAGTCAGCGAGACTGTAAAAATTTTATTAAGTAAATTTTGTCAAAACGCACTGCGAAGAAAGTAGATCGATCCAGGCAGTAACGGGTGAGAACCAGAATTCTGAATATTTAAATAGTGAAAAATCATGCGAAATTTCCACTGTTGTAAATCTGTTCTTTGAGAATGTCAGCAGTTGCGACTTCGTAGGTTTTGAAGAGTAAATGGTGCTCTATCAGATAGTGAAAAAATCGAGTCGATTTTAGAGAAAGTCGTTGAAAATCAGAATTCTAAATATTAGCGCCATTTTTGCGTGTTTTTTGACAGTTGACAGTTAAACTCATCTAAATCTTGAAAGTGAAAGTGTGTGATGATGCGACTTCGCAGGTTTTGTAGAGTAAGGTTTGCCTTATTATGCCCGTGGGGGGAGCCTTTTCATACCAAAGTCTCCCCTCTCCAATACATTAAAGTGGGAGACTTTGGTATGAAAAGGTTTCCCCCATAATTCGTGGGAGGCTCTAAATACCCACACATTATACATCATCTGAAAGCTCTTGATGAGAAGAATCTAACCTATGCAGTCGCAACATGATTCATGCAGTTCTGAAGAAGTTATGAGCTGTTGAAATTCAAAAAGCGCTTTTTACCTGCTTCTTCAAAACCTGGGATCTCAGCACTCTTTCAATGGATCCGTACGGCTAAGATATATTCGGATAAGGCAAACCTTACTCTACAAAACCTGCGAAGTCGCATCATCACACACTTTCACTTTCAAGATTTAGATGACTGTCTACTGTCAAAAAACACGCAAAAATGGCGCAAATTTTTAGATTTCTGATTTTCAACGATTATCTCTCAAATCGATTCGATTCCTTTACTATCTGATAGAGCACGATTTACTCTTCAAAACCTATGAAGTCGCAACTGCTGACATCTTCAAACAGCAGATTTACAAAGTGAAAATTTCGCATGATTTTTCACTTTTTAAATATTCAAAATTCTGGTTTTCGGCCGTTACTGCCTAGATCGACTTACTTCCTTCGCAGTATGTTATGACAAAATTTACTTAATAAAATCCTTACAGTCCAACAAACTTTTACTTCCAAATACACTAATTGACAAGCACGATTATTTTAGATATTTATGACGCTGTATACATAAAAATATGCTTGCAGTGATCCCTTTTGCATTTGTTTTGCTTATTTTCCGCGCACTGGCGGCAACGACCTAGAAGGATAGACGTTAATGCTCCTCCCCCCCCCCCCTTGTTTTTGGGAGGTGAATGCTCGGCACTACCACCTTCACTTTTGGCCGGCCAGTGGTAGCTAGGACCACCTTCAGTTTTGGTGGGCCCGGCTCCCCCCATCGCACCTCTGTTCCTGGGCCTTCCTAGCAGCGAACTGAGCCTTCAGTTAGGTATTGAGGGGAGATAGGAGTGCATGCAAGCGATTTTGGTCCCGAAGTCCTGCGGAAAATGATATTCGTGGATTGGAGTTTCTTTTGAAAGATTTCGTCTTTTTTTTTGCTGAATGGTCAGGAAAATTCCAAAAAAGCTCATTTTTTTCTAATATTGCTGAACCTTTTTAGCGACGAACTGAGCCTTCAGTCAGGTTTTGAGGGAATTGAGTTCGCGAGCATTCAGAATTGATTTTGGTTCCAAGGCCGGTGAAAAACGATATTGTGGAGTGGAGT